TTTTTTTTTTTTAATGTAGACCCTAGGAATTTGGCTTAAATTTTTTATTATTTTTAAAAAGTGGTTAAAATAAATCAAATTACTATAGGCTTGAACGGTAACAATCTGATTTTTCTTGCACTTAAAAATTACTGTATTAGCTGCTGTCATATAACTAATTTTTAAAAAAAGTGTAATACCCAAAATCGTGATTAGTGTGGGTTGCAGGAGAGAAGAAAAATTCCAATTTCTACATCTGATTCAAGTAAGAATGTCAAACAGCTCTGTTTTACCTGGTTGCTTCAATATAGGCTTTATCAAACTGACAATAAGATTAGTCTATTTTCAGAACTTCTGCTCCCTCTGCCAGGTCCCTCACAGCCCTATCTTCTTCCACACCAGCAGCCCTGATGAGAGGAGGGAATGCCGCTTTGGTTTCACTACTATTAGCTTCATGAATTAAGGCTTTAAAAGATCTTCCTGTTAACAGAAGTGCAGCATTGCTCCGTCCTTCCACACCAAAGGGGCCTGTGGGGGACTCTTTCCTCCCCACCCTCGGTGGTATACTGGCATTGGCCCGACGAGGTCGTTCTTTGACTCTCTGGTCATCCATGGGGACAAGTCAGGACAGTGTTGGAACAGGGTAAAACACAGTGAAGTGACACCATGTACCCTGGTGTCAACTGGTGAAAACAGAACCGAATGAAAGAAAAATATCCAAATAGCATTTATAATGCAGCTCTACACCCTTGAAATATTCAATAATGCTTTCTCCAGATTGTTCTTACAAGGTTATAAAAACAAAATGCATTTTGGAAAAAAAAAGAGTAGCCTGTTTTGGAACAACTAGAACTTAGCATGCCGGTGACTTGAGAGACCAAGTTAGACACTTAAAACTGAGAAGTTCTGAGTGGGTTAGCCCTGGCCGCGCACATCAGCCACTGCTAGCATCCGCCACTGCCGAGGAGTTCACTGCTGTAGGAGGTTTAAGCCTCAGGACAAGTTCTCTTAAGTTTATTTGTGATAAAAGGATGGACATTGCTCTTTTGCATTTCCTTGACTTTATTGCACATTAAATGAGTTTTTTCATCATAAGCCTTGGCTACAGAATTCGTTGTTTTCCAGATCTCTCCCACAGATTGGCTTCATGGTCTTGGACAGACTGACAAATGTGTTTCATTTCAGGTTTGCTTATCTTTAAAATGGGCACAGTGACTGCAGTCTCCCAGGGATAAATGTGTGTTTTGTTTTTAAAGAGCTTTGTTTCAGGAGTGACTGCAGGATTTTTTTTACTGTCATTCTCTGTGAATCACAAAGCTGTAACTGGTTTTCCCACAATTTTTATTTACACAAAATATTAGAGGAATATTTTTTTAAACCACCCTCTCACGAGTAAAAACGGTTTCACATTTTTTTATTATGTCTTTATTCTTTATCGTCTTTGATACC